CTGGAATAGGGCCCAGGTCTGCCACCCAGCCAAGTGTGCTCAAGTTGTTACCAAGTAGTCCCTGTCACAGCCATTGGTGCACAAGCATTTATACTCCCCCTCCCCCCTCCCTCATGTGGGAACACACACACACACACACACACACACACACACACACACACACCCTCCTTCATGTGGGAACACACACACACAGAGGTGTGGAGATTCACACCACGGAACCCCCCTCCCACACTCTGGCTCCACTTCCAGAGTTGCCTTGCCCCTTATATCTCCCCCCCCTCCCCGCCCCATCCAGAGCCCAGCGGATGTGGATAAGCCACCCCTCCCCTGCCTTCCCAAATTGTGGTTGACGGTTGCCTGAGCAACCGCCTGGCAGATTGGGGAGATTAGCTGAGGAATGTAGCTGGGCCAGTTGGAGCTGGGGTTGGGTGGGGGTCCTGGATAGGCAGGCACAGCCTACTTTCTCAGAGGGGCCCCCAGTAGAGATGGGGTACTCAGGGGGAGGCCCAGCGGAGACTGTTTCCCCAAAGCTTGGACTAGGGGAAGGGAGTGCCCACATGCGCAGTGGCTTTTGGGGCTGTGTGTGTGCCTATTCACGTGTGCTGGGCATCTCTGGGTGTGATTAGGGTCTATGTTTTTTGTCTCCAGGGTGAGGACAAGAACCCTTAGCACTTTCTGACATCTGACTCCACACCATTGGCTGGGTCCCAAGTTCCCTCCAGTGCCCTTTGGATGGATACCCGTGCCCCCCTCTCTAAGGCTGCCAGGGCAGATCACTTGTGTCATCTGAATCCCCCAGCTCCCCAACGTGCAGTGAGGCCAACCTCCTCACCCTGGCACCAAAGGCCCGCCATGACTGGCCCTGGCCCCCAGCGGCTCCAGTCTCACTGCCCGCAGCTTCAGCCAGTCTAAGCCCCTCCCTGAGCCCAGCACAGACTGCCTTCCTTTGCTGCCGGGAGGTCCTCAGCCTTCAGTCCCGCCCCTCTCCCGTCTCCACTGGCCCAAATAAACCCTACCCATCCTCCTAAGCTGAGCTCAGAGGGACCCTCTCCTCCAGGAAACCTCTCCTGGAGGACAGGAACCTAGCGCCTCACAGATCCCAGCTCCCGGCACGTGCCCATTGCCACCCTGTCCTGTGGCTTTGACCTTTCTCTGCTTTGTCTCCTTCTTTCACCCCTCTCCAGAGGGAGGCCCCCAGGGCAGGGCTGAGCCCTAGGCAGGCTTGCATCTGTCTCTGTCTGTCGTGCCAGCCTGGGAATGCTTTGTAAGCAGTGTCAGGGAAGAAGGAGCCTTTGAATGCTCTGGCATCAGCGCACGTGGCCAGCAGCACATGTGGTCACAGCCCCTTTTTGTTTGTTTGTGTTTTTCCTCCCTGGGGAGTCGCTGGGTGGTGTGAACCTTTAGGCGCTTGACTGCTAGACAAAAGGTTGGCAGTCCAAATGCACCCAGAGCCACCACTGAAGTCAGACTTGGGGACTTGCTGCCTGCAGGGGGTTGGAGCTCTGCCAACCCCAGTGTGTCGGCTCGGCATGCAGGGAGCCCCTCCAGGGCAGTGAACCACAATAGTCTCCTTAAAGAAACTAGCAAGTTTGAGCTCCAGCTTCTGCACTTTGCGGGAAGGGTGGTAATGGTGGTGGTGGTGGTAGGCAAGCCACCTAGCCTCTCTGTGCCGCCTCTTCATCTGCGTACCTTGACTAACAGTCACAATAGCTCTGGGCTGCCGTAAAGGTTTGGCTGCAGCATGGCGGACGTGGTGCCGCATGGCAGCCAACGGTGGTGGTGGTGGTGATGAGTGTGTGAGCTGTGCCCAGGACCCTGTGGGCGGAGTTGAGAGGGATTCCTTGAGCCCACTCTTCCTCGGAGCCCAAAGCCTGACCTAGCTCTTTCCCTGGGCTGGAGGGCTGTGGCCCTGGTGGGGCAGTGGTACATGCCGCACCGCTAGCTGCAAAGTCAGCAATTTGAAACCACTGCTGCTCCTCTGAGACAGACAAGGCTGTCTACTCCCTTAAAGAGTTCCAGCCTCGGAAACTCCTAAGGGCAGCTCTACCCCATCCTATAGTATAGGGTGGCTGTGAGTTGACCTTGACTCAATGGTAGTGGATTTGTTTTGGGTGGGCTCTGGGCTTCTTGGGTCTCCAGGGAGAGTTGGGACTGGACTTTGGGGCTCCTGGCTCCTGAGGGCCCCAGGATGGAGGGGATGGTTTCCATCCACCCCTGGCCATGAGGCTGATTTCCCCAGCACAGGGTGAAGTGGGGAGGGGCTGGGGCTTGGGCCAGAGCTGTTACCCTATTGGTAGGAATCAGGCATAGCTCAGAGAGGGGTGGGTGGTGGGTGGTTGGGTAGAGGGTGCATGGAGTGGGATGGGGCGGATAGAGCATGGCGACCAGCCAGGCCTTTAGTTAGTGATCTTTGTCCCTCCCAGTTTGTCTGTAGGACACTGTCCAGAGAAGAGTTGTTTTGCCTGGAGGGTTACTCAGCCTTAGAGGACACTCTGCCAGAGTTTGGTTGGGAAGAGTCATCTGGGTCAAGAGTCATCTGGGTCAAGGGTCACTTTAGCAGAGGTTGGTCAGCCTGAGGCCAGTCGACTTGGTGGCCACTCTGGGTGATGGCTGATGGTCTGGAAGTCATCAAGTCACTCTTAGTGAGGGCAGCCAGTCTGGGGCTTCCTATGACACTCAATTTGGAGGTCATCTGGAGGTCACCCTGAGCACAGACCTCAGCCTGAGCATTGATCTGACCAGGTCAGTCTGTCTGGAAGTCCTGGCAGGCCATGAGACCTGGGCCAGGATAGATGGGAGGAAGCCAAGGTGTCCTGGGGCAGCTGCCTGGCTACTTGTACAGGAAGAGGCGGGATGCCAGCCCTGACCTGGCCTGTAGATCTTGGGCTTCCTTTTCTGGCAATCTCTCTGCCTCAGGGAGGCCTTGGCTAAGACCCTGGGGAGCGGGGTATGTGCAACTCAGGCTGAGGTCAGCTGTTCCTCTTCTCCTGGAAGCCATCACGGACTACCCTGAATAGCATGTCCCTTACTTGTGCTGTGGGTCATTTTCTAGAGGGAGAGCTGAGGCCCTCCCTGCCCGGATGGACTAACATCCACCTCTCCCAGACCACAGGACACGATGCCGGCCAGGGCGTCTTAAACCAAGAGGTAAAGAGCTCAGCCAAGGTCTTGCCTGCTGCTTCCTTCCACCTGCCATGCCAGACTCAGCCCACACCTCACCATTTCACACTCTGATGGGGCCCCCAGAGGAGGAGGGAGACCCCAAGAATGGCAATCCTTTCCTTTGTGCCTGGCTTGAATGGACATGTCTCCATGTCTTCATACGACCTACATGACAACTCAGAGAGGTGGCCTTACAGATGGAGAACCAGAATTCCCCGAGTGTCATCACCTGCAAGCAGGTGCCGAGATTCTTCCTGGCGTGTGGCACTCACTCCCCAGTCATTGCCCATGCGCCTCTCCTTCTCTCCTTGAGAAAAAGCACAGGGTTGGTTGCCTCCTCACCGGTGGGGAGCATGGACGTTGCCATCTGATTGATCTGGGTTCAAATCCTGCCTCTTATTTGTGTAGCTCAAGGAACACATGCACAGAACTGCTCTTTCCCAAATGCTTGCTGTGTGCCAGACATTCTGCTAAGTGCTAAATGCATCAAACCTCAACAACCCCACGTATGGATGGGAACACCGACGTTCAGCGAGTCGACGTGATTATCCACAGTCACAAGGGCTGGTAAATTGAGGAGTCAAGAATTCAGCCTAGGTCTGTGTGACTCTCCAAAGCGTATTCACTTGCCTTCTGTATTTGGATGTGGGTGAACACCTTTGGAGCCTCAGTCAGCTCATCTGTTAAATGGAAGAAGTATCAGAGCCTGGCCCAGACATAGGACAGGGTCTAGCATGACTTGTACCTGCCTCTTCATTGCCAGCTCGGGCCTTTTCCTGGGTCTCAGATCCCTCAGGGGGCAGCACTACCTGGCAGGGCCCCAAGCGTGAAGGCTGCAGAGAGAGTGCAGGGGCCTTGTTTGCACTTCCTGCTTGAACTAGTGGTATTGTCAAATACGAGGTACCTGCCTGCTCAGGGCTTAGATGAGCAGGTAAAGGTGCATGGGTCTTGTTAGAAATCAGGGCACTGCCCCATTTACTTTTGCATCCTTTTCCTGCTCCCCACTTCCCACTGCTTCTCTCCCCATTTAATCTGTAATATTGGCAAAACCTTGGTTCTGAATACTTGGGGTTTACTTCCACTAGCATATGAGTCCCTCATACATGTGTGATTATGCTTTCGTGCTCCACATCCCCATATGCAGAGACCTCGGTGAGTGACTTCGGGCAAATGCCGGAGCCCATCTGTCAAGTGGGAATACTAGTGGCTCCTGCTCCGGAGCGTGAGGCACACGGAGACCCTGCAGGCTCTGATATGATCGGTGGTGACTGTGGGTTACTAAGGAGATATTGTCAGGGCGGCTTATGGCATTCATAATCCTGATGAAACACTGGCTAGCAGTCAGGAGATCGAAGCTCAAGCTCCACCTCTGCCACTCACGAGCTGTGTGGTCTTAAGGAAGTCACGTAGCTTCTTCGGACCTCAGTTTCCTCATCTGTAAGATGGGGCTAGTTCTAGTTTGGATGTTGCAGAGTTGCTGGGAACTTCGAACGATACACTAAGTGACATCTGGCACTTATTGAGGAGGGTCTCCGAGGGCTGGTTGAACAGTGTGGAGTCCTATGTTAGAGGAGTGAGCAGTGTGGGGAGGTCTTGGTATTGGGGGCGGCCTTGATGGAAGGAGAAGGTGGGGGGTCGGGAGAGGTTTGGTAGAGGGTGGGAATGGCGGGGGCAGGACCTGAGGAGAGGTGTGTGAACCTGGGAGTAGTAGGAGCAGTGGTGGGGGGTTATCGGGCAGCCCCAGGTCCCCTTCCTGGCCTGCACTGACCAGGTCCTGCCCTCACAGCTGGCTGCACCTTCGAGGAGGTGAGTGACCCAGGGGTGCCCTGCGAGTACAGCCAGGCCCAGTACAATGACTTCCAGTGGGAGCAAGTGCGGAGTCACCCTGGCACCCGGACCCCTGCAGACCTGCCGCATGGTGAGTCTATCCACTACCAGTACCCTTCTCTTTGACTCCTTCCAGGAGCAGTCTACCCAGCTGCTGTGTGACTTTGGGCACAGGACTGAACCTCTCTGGCTTCATCTGCTTTTGTTTCTGTACAGACATGCATGACAGTGTGAAAGGGGAGGAGTTTTCGCTGTAAAATGGGTGCAGGACCAGGTAAAACAGTAGCTCCAAACCTGCTTCCCATTCCTCTCATCAGGTCAGCTCAGCAGGATCTTCCGGAATCTTCTGCCTTCATGGACGTTCTCTTCGCCCTGACAGCCTGTGACCCTGGTCTCTGCAGGACTTGCAGAGGCTGCCAGAGCAGTAATACCAGGGCCTAGATGTGTGCAAAGACGTCTTCCTGGAAGTTCCGGATGATTCCCCTATTTTAGGGTGGGACACTTTTAGCATCCTGAGCACTGAACGGGAGTCAGAAGAATAATTACATTAGATAATGGCCCGTTAGAACACTGGCTTTAGAAGATCTGGTTTCAAATCTTAGTTCCAACACTTTGCCAGCTGTGTGACCTTGGATAAGACATTCAACCTCTCTGAGCCTCCATTTTCTTAACTGTGAAATGGGGAGAACAGTAATATTCTGCTAGTTCCTGCTTCTAAACTACTGCCATTGAGTTGATTATGACTTACAGTAATCACATAGGACAGGGTAGAATGACCATTTTGAGTTTCTGAGGCTGTAAATTTTTATGGGAGCAGAGAGCCTCATCTTTCTCCCGAGGAATGACTGGTGGAATTGAACTCCTGTCCTTATGGTTAGCAGCCCGATGAATAAGCCACTCAACTATCAGGACTCCTCCAATAATACTTCGTAGATAGGGTTATTAGAACATGCCTATGACATATGTAGGATGGGGATGGCATGTATGTGCCAACTAGTTTTTAATTGATATTTATTTATTTATATTTGTTTTTGAGGACCCCTCAAAATAGCACCCTTCTTTGATGGGGAATAAAGGAAGGGCAAGGCATATGGGGGCCAAATGATCAACTTTATTCAGATAAAGTTGGTTAGAGGGCGGTGCACAGTGTGCGAACAAAGTGCGCTTGCTGTCCGGAGTCCAGAGAGGGATGGCCTGAAGGGCCCACCCTTGCCTGTCACAGGAGCAGACCAGGGGCCTTTCCTGCCTGTCCTCACAGCATGGCTGACCTTGTGCCTGGGGTGCGGGGCAGTGGTGGGGCTAGGACTTGCAGCCAGCAGGAGAGAGGCTCTCCAAAGCTCATCTCTCATAACTAGTCCCACCTCCTGGGGGGCCTGGCTGCCTCCCTGTTTGCCTCGCTCACACCACATCCTCCCCGGGGCATCGTCTCTGCCCCCACCAGGCTTGCAGCTCCTCGTTTGCACCCTGTGCCCACAGGTTTTGTAGCTGGATGTGCCTGAGAGCAATCAGTCAAGGGCCTTGGTGTGACAGGATCTGCCTCCAGCTCCCCAGGGCCCAGCTATGCCCTGGCGTAGGGCCCACACCCAAGTATCAGGCACTTGGTTTGAAGCCATCTCTTCCAGCTCCAAATGCTATGTGTGGGTGCAGGGAGACACCCAGTGGGGAAGGGGAGAGAGGAATGCCTTTAGCGAGGGCCTGGTGCTGGGTGCTAGGGATGCAGGGCTGAGGGAGGTGGACATGGCCTATGCCCTCTTAGTGCCCACATTTTAGGGCTGGGAGTTGGGCAGGAGAAGAAAGCGAAGGAAGGAGGGAGATGCAGACCCAGGACAGAGAGCAGGAGCGGGAAGAAGAAGGGAGAGGGCAGGGTGAAGAGGAGTATGAAAGAGAAGAGGGTTGGCGAACGGAAGGAAGCAATTGGGGGTGGGGGCGGTGGAGAGGGAGCTAGGCAGGGGTAGAAGGACCACCAGGGCTCTTGGGGCATGGGAGAAGAAGGTGAGGGGTTATGTTGGGCCTCAGATGTGCCCTTTTCAGGGTTTACTCTCCCCCCAACCCCCCAGGACTGATCCAGGAGCCACCTCCACATGGCTTCTGGCTCACTGAGATGAATGAGAGCCCTAGCAGCCGTGGAGTCCCCAGGGAGTCCTCTCCGAGCGGGGAGCCTCATGGCTTGGGATGTGAATGAGCTTTTGTTGGCTGGCAGCCAACTCTGGGAGGCAGCCCCTCTGGGTGGCTGAAGGCGCCCCTTGGCAGCTGCTGGAGCCTTCTCCCTCTGGAAGGGAAGCCATAGTCCCCCAGCTGGGCCCTGCAGAGTTATCTGGTTCACCAGCCCACGCCAGCACACAGCCCAGCTCTCCTGGGGAAGGGACTAGGCCTGCTTGTCTCTAACGTGGAAGCCAAAAGAATTTGTCTCCCTGGAATTTATACTCAGCAGGTTGGGGGTGGAAAGGGAGCTGGAGTCCTTTCATTCCGTCTCTGTGCCACACGCTCACTCAGCTAAGACTCAGAGCCGGTGCTGGAACGTGCATTTTTTTTTTATGAATGATTCAAGGGCCAGGGGAGAACCCACAGTGGGATTTGGAGAGAAGACTTTGAAAGAGCTAGCCTTCAAGGGCCTGCAATGAGCTAGGCTCTTGCCTTCTGCCTTTGAGGATGGCTCAGGACCTGGGAAGGGTGGTGATCAGTGAGGCATGAGCCTGGGCTGCCCTGTAGGTGGTGAGGAGCCATTTGTGATTGGTTGGTTTGTTTTTCCTCCCTTTTCCAACTCTCCTTTGGGAATGAAGCCCAGGGAAGTGAAGGGACTTACCCAGCCAGCCAGAGCTGGACCCAGAACTCAAACCTCTGACTCCAGGGCTGTAAATCCCATGGATCCTTTGTCTTTGCCCTCTCCTGACCTTGGTCCTCTCCCAGACTCCCTCAGCTCCTGCCTCTTCCAACTCTCTCTGCAGGCTCCTACTTGATGGTCAATGCTTCCCAGCATGGCCCAGGGCAGAGGGCCCATGTCATCTTCCAGAGCCTGAGTGAGAATGACACCCACTGTGTGCAGTTCAGCTACTTCCTGTACAGCCGGGATGGACACAGCCCTGGCACCCTGGGCGTCTACGTGCGCGTCAATGGGGGGCCTCTGGGCAGCGCTGTCTGGAATATGAGCGGATCCCACGGCCGTCAGTGGCACCAGGCTGAGCTGGCTGTCAGCACCTTCTGGCCCAATGAGTATCAGGTGGGCTGGGCTCAGTTTGGGGTCACCCCGTGGCTAGGGGTGGGAGACGCTGTCAGCTTGAGGTCAGGTATTAGTAAATGAGTGACCGAGTGTGAAGCTGGTCTCTGGGCAGGATCTGTGGTCAGCATTCAGTGACCGAGGTCAGGCGGGGTTCAGCTGAATCAGGAGTTTTTTTGTGAATAGGCGTAGTGTATGGCCAGGGTCAAGGTTATGTTGGAATCATCCTGACCTGGAGAGCCTGTCTGGCTGGGAAGAGAGTTTTGCAGCTCTCAGGTCACTGCCAGGGATGGGCCAGTCTTTGGCCCTGACCTAGTTAGCTCTGTGTGCTGTCTTCCTTCCCCGACTAGCTGGCTGGGCAGGGAGGGTCAGTGTGAGCTCCTCAGCTGATTGAGGAGGCTGGGGCTGAGGCTGGGGCAGAGCTGACCTCCCTCTTGTGGCTACCTGACCAAGCAGGGGTCCAGGATGTCAGTATGTATGCCGGCCCTCCTGCCTCCCTAGGTGCTGTTTGAGGCCCTCATCTCCCCAGACGGCAGGGGCTACATGGGCCTAGATGACATTCTGCTTCTCAGCTACCCCTGCGGTGAGTCCCAGCACACTGGGGGCACAAGGAAGAGGGGCCCGGGTGGCCACGTTCGCTACCCGAAGGGGCTACAGGTCCATCTCACCACATATTTTCAACCCCTTCAGCCAAAGCCCCGCATTTTTCCCGCCTGGGCGACGTGGAGGTCAATGCGGGCCAGAACGCCTCGTTCCAGTGCATGGCGGCAGGCAGGGCAGCCGAGGCCGAGCGCTTCCTCCTGCAGGTAAGGGGCTGGGACTTTGGCTGCGTCTTCCCTCCTTTATCCTCGGACACTCACACACATAGATCCCTGCAGAGTCCCCATGGCTCCCACCACCTCGTTGGGTGGCATTTTCTCCCAGGGCAGAGCACGGCTCCTGGATCAGAGCTCTCTTCCACCTCTCCTAATCAGCTTCTAACCCCGTTGCTGACAAATGGCAGAGTTTGGGGTGGGATGGGCATGGGGGAGGATTCCCCACCCTGAATCTTTAAAAAGCCAAACTCCCTACCAGTCGATGCCCGCTCCTGGCGACCTGATAGGACTGGGTAGAAGTGCCCTCGTGGGTTTCGGAGACTGCCGATTTATGGGAGTAGAAAGCCTCATCTTTCTCCCGTGGGTAGGGGTGGCTAAGCCTACACTGGACCGTTATCAACCTTGCCCAGGTCAGAGAGGGACCAAGACCCCTGGGTGTCCAGCGGCCCTGACTCTGCCACCCTGCCCTTCCCCTGCAGCGTCAGAGCGGGGTGCTGGTGCCCGCGGCTGCTGTGCGGCACATTAGCCATCGGCGTTTCCTGGCCACCTTCCCGCTGTCCGCTGTGGGCCGCGAAGAGCAGGACCTGTATCGCTGCGTGTCCCAGGCCCCGCGAGGCGCCGGGGTCTCGAACTTCGCAGAGCTCATTGTGAAGGGTCTGTGCACAGCGCTCTCCTGGGTGGGTGGGGCGGGGGCGGGGCTTAGTCGAGGGGCGGTGCCTGAGAAGGGGCCCTGTCCAGGTGTGAGCCTGCAAGGTTCCGCAGAGGGCTGGGGGTATTCCGAGGGGAGTGCGTGGAGTGTGCGGGCTACTTAAGGACCACACTTCAGAACGCGATGACCTGCAGGCCTTAGGATTTCGCGGGAGCGGGCGAGTGGCTGGGCCTCAGCTTGCTGGTTGCCTGAGTGGGCCCGGAGGACAGATAGGACTTTTGGGGATTTGAGAAAGGTGGGGTTCCGCGTTGGGGGGTTAGGATCTCACATCGGCACCCACTGGTTCCCCGCTACCTTTTGCCCCTTCCTTTCGCAGAGCCCCCGACCCCCATCGCACCCCCGCAGCTGCTGCGCGCCGGCCCCACGTACCTCATCATCCAGCTCAACACCAACTCCATCATCGGGGACGGGCCCATCGTGCGCAAGGAGATCGAGTACCGCATGGCGCGGGGCCCGTGGGCAGAGGTGCACGCCGTCAGCCTGCAGACCTACAAGCTGTGGCACCTGGACCCGGACACGGAGTATGAGATCAGCGTGCTGCTCACACGCCCGGGAGACGGCGGCACGGGCCGTCCTGGGCCGCCACTCATCAGCCGCACCAAATGTGCAGGTGAGTGTGGCCCGTGTCCCCTCCCTCCGTCCCATACCCAGACCCGGAAATATCAGCGCGGGGCAACCGAGCTTGAAGGGGCGCGTTCCAACAGGTGGTATGGCTCTTTCTAAGAAGTCCTGATTTCCCCTAAATTCTTGTTATGGTAAAGAGAGTGATAGCTATCACTGTGCCAGTCGCTGTTAATGCCTGTTAAAAACATACGCACGCCCACGTACACACACACACACACACACACACAGGGAGAGAAAGTTAGTTATGGCTTTGAAACTCACAATACCATGATGTAGGGGCATTTGCCATACCCATTTTATAGATGAGGTAACTGAAGCACAGAGAGATCCTGAGTAACTGTTTCAAGGTCAGAGCTGGGACTAGATCTCTGCTGTATGGCTCCACACTATAGCCCAGGATGACAGAAACAATGGCTATAAGAATGCGCTGCTCAGTCTGACTGGATCCCCTGTCGGCGGGGCGTTGTTCAAAAGGGTGGAGCCCCTCTCCATGTGCAGGCGCATCTGCACCAGAGGCTATTTAATTCAAAGAGAAACCGAGAGCAGAACAGATTTCTGATGTGTGACTTCAGTTTATGATTAGAATTTCTGATGAAATAACTGCAGAGGCACATGCACTTGTAGAAAACATCTTCAGAGAGGCTGTGTCCACTTTACCCAGCTCCCTAGAGTGGTGCCCTTTTGCGGTGCTCTCATGTGACAGCACAACCAAGACACTGACATTGACCCCATCCACGGATCTCCTTCAGCAGTCCCTAGTCTCCTGTGTATGCATATGTATGTGTGTGTGTGTGTGTGTGTCATTCCATACCTTTGTCACATGCTCAGATTTGTGTCTTCACCATCTCAGTCAAAATACTGGCCACGAGTTCAATCACCTTCCCCCCATTGATTGTCTTGGAACTGGACTTGGCTTTTTTACTCATCATAATTCCCTGAAGATTCATCCAAGTTGTTGTATGCATCGCTATTTTCTTCCTTATTGCTGCCGAATAATCAATAGTGTTCCACGAGAGGGATGTGCTATGAATTGCCGAGGCTGTCACTTGTTGAGGGACATCTTGGCTGATTCAGCTTTGGGCGATGACAAATAATACCACTGTGAACATTTGCGTACAGATTCTGGTGTGAACATAACTTTTATTTCTGGGATAAATGCCCAGGAGGACAACTGCTGGATCATATGGCAAGTGCATGCTTAATTTTATAAGCAGCTGCCGAGCTGCTTTCTAGAATGGCGGTGTCATGTTATAGGCCAGTTTCGAGAGTTCTCTGCCTTTGCTGGTGTCAGTGTTTGTATTTTAGCCATCCTGAGAGGTGTGTAGTGGTGTCTCATTGTCATCTTCTCGTCACCTGGTAGCATAGTGACTATGCATTGAGCTGCTAACCACACGGTCAGCTGTTTGAACCCACCAGCTGCTGTGTGGGCGAAATAGGAGGCTGTCGGAAACCACGAGGGCCATTCCACTCTGTCCTAGAGGGTCCGTATGAGTGGGAACAGAGGAGACTGCAGTGAGTTTTTTGAGTAGGCGTGGCTAGTGATGTTGAAGTGTTCTCCTGTGTTTGCCAACTGTATACACTCTTTGGTGAACGTCTTCTCACAGCATCTGCCTATTTTATCATGGGAGGAGTTGGCTTTGTGTGCTGCGGAGTTGAGAGAGGTCTTTATATTTCAGCTCTATGTCACTTGTATGGTGTGTGCATGTCTTCTCATTTGCAGCTTGTTTTTCTAGTCCCTCCTCCTGGGCTTTCAAGAGCAAACGTTCGATGTTTTGATGAGGCCCAGTTTATCGGGGTGTTCTTTTGTGAGTTGAGCTTTGGTTCCAAGTCTAAGAACTCTTTGCCCAGCTTTGGATGGCGAGTTTCCCTCTAAAAATGTTTGAGATTCACCTGGCACATTTCACTCCAGCGCGCCTTCGAAATCCGTTTTGGATTAGGTGTGAGGTGCAGATCAGGGCTCACTTATTTACGTTGACTCTGTGCTCTTCAGCGTGTTCCATCTGTATTGAAACCAGTCCACGAACCCACCTGAAATCTCATTTTGTGGCCTGGAGCGCCACCCTAGAGCCCTGGTGGCATAGAGGTTACGAATTGGGCTGCAATCTGCAAGGCCCAGAGCTCAAAACCACCAGCCGCTCTGTGGAGGAAAGACGGGGCTCTCTGTGCCTGTAAACAGCTACAGTCTTGGAAACTCACAGGGCCAGTTCTACCCTGCCCTACCCTACCGAGTCACTACGAGTCGACATCGACTCGATGGCAGTGGGTTTGGTTTTGAGTGCCACCCTTGGGCAGGAAGGAGGACCTTGGGTGGTAAGTCCGAGTGGCTTTCTAGCTGAGGGAGCTGAGTCAGGTTACTTAACCTTTCTGAGCTTCTGTTCCTTTGTGGGGATAAATAATAATCATTACCACGCAGATTTAGTGTCCAGCTCATTGAAGTGTAAAGGGGAGCACAAGACTGCTAGCTGGAAGATGGGCAGTTTCAACCGGTTCAGAGATGCGCCAGGTGATCTGCAGCTGAGAGGTCACAGCCTCTGGGGCAGTTCTGTTCTACATGGGGGGGTGCAGTGGCGAGGAGTTAGAATCAACTGGATAGCAGCCAACACCCTTATATGCCAGGTACTGCTCTAGTCATTGGGGATGTACAGCTGTGAGCAAGACAGACCAAGACCATAAGCCCACCAGTTCCTGATGGAGCGGACAGTCTGGGGGCAGGAGACAGACGGTACCTAAGTAAGCAAATGCGAGATACAGTTGATCAGATCATGGTATGTGCTGTGAAGAAGACTCAAGCAGAAAAGGGGATGGGCTTGGGGTAGGAGGCCTGTTATTTAAAAAACCCTCCAGGGATCATCTTACCATGATGGTGACATTTGAGCAGAGGCCTGAAGGAGGCGAGGGACTGAAGCATATGGGGAGCTGGGGGAACTGCTGAGGAAAGGAATATTCCAGGCAGATGGAACAGCAAGTACAAAGGTCTGGCATCTGGAGCGTGCTTGGCATCTGTGAGGGGCAGCAAGGAGAGCCGCGGAACTGTGGTCAAGTGACACAGAAGGACAGGGCAGGAGATGAGGTGGTATTGTGCTGGAGATGTGGGACTCAGAGCCATTTTATGCTGAGTGAGCTGGGGACCCACTGGGGTGCTTGGAGAATCAGAGTGACATCATCTACTTTTGTTTCAAAGGCTTACTCCGGCCCTTTTATGGGTCACAGACTCCAGGAGGGCAAGGGGACGGGAGAGGGGGAACGGCAGGAGGACGTGGCAGGGAGCAGAGGGGCATGGTGGAGATGGTGGAAAGTGGTCAGACGCTGGATGTCGTTTGATGGTAGAGCGAACTGAAGTTGCTGATGGATTGGATGTGTGATGAGAAGGGAAATGGAGAAAAGTCAAGGATGGCTCCAAGGTTTTCGCTTGAGCACCTGGAAGGATGGAGTTAGTTGTCATTTACTGCCCGAGAGCATCAGACTGCGGGAGTACAGGTTTGATGGACGTGCTATAGATCAGGAGTCCTGTGTTGGAAGTGTTGACTGTGAGATGGCTATTAGATGTTCAAGTGGGGATATCCATCAGGCAGATGGATACAGAAATGTAGAGTTCAGGGAAGAGGCTCAGGCTGCAGGTATAAATTTGAAACTCGTCAGCATAGAGATGATATAGATGGTGTTTAAAGCCATGAGACTGGATGAAATCATTTACACTACTGGTTCTCACCCGGGGGCGGCTTTGTCCTCCAGGAGACATTTGGCAATGCCTGGGGGACATTGGGAGGGGCCAGGGGTTTGCTACTGCCATCAGCGTAGAGGCCAGGGAAGCTGCTAGAATCGTACAGTGCACAGGACATCCCCTCAGGAAAATCATTGGCTCTGAAATGTCAATTAGAGAGCCTGGTTGAGAACCTCTGATTAGTCCGTAGCTTCTAGGGCATAAGCGTAGACGGAAAAGAGCATCCGGGCTTCCAGTGCTCAGGATGGAGTGTGGGAAACTATTGCATTCAATGCATGGGAAACAGTGCTTAACACACAGTGAGCACTTGGAAAATAAATAATCAATGTCATGAAGTCAGAGCTAAGGGGCTCACAGAGAATCACCACTCCCCTCCCCTCCCCTCAGATGGGGAAACCGAGCCCCAGAGGGCTTTGAAGGGCTCGCTGTCAGTTAAGAACCCAGTTTCCGTAGTGGTGGCTGTTGATGCTTTAGGAGCACATTGAGATGTAGAGATTTATTGCTGGCCCAAACCTACGCAGAGTCCACAGTGGAACCCAAATTCGAATCTCCTGATTTCTAATGCGGTGCTCTCAAGCACAAGGAGCCCAGATGGCACCGTGGACTGGGCACTCACTGGGCTGCTTGCTAACTGCAAGGTCAGCCGTTCGGACCCACCAGCCGCTCCATGGGAGACGAGACGAGGCTGTCTACTTTGGTTACAAGTTTGCAGTCTCCGGAGCCCTGTGGAGTCTCTGTGAGTCTGAATGGACTTGACAGCAGTGGGTTTGGCCTTGGGGGGTTAACAACAACCACAACCACAACCACAGGTTTCATGTGCCGCGCATCCACTTTGTGCTGGTCCCCGTGTAAGCCCTGTCCATAGGCGGGCCAGGCCAGAAGCTGGGGTGGGGGCGGGGCCAGGAAGACTGGAAACAGCTCATCCTGCCCCTCTAATTACCCACTTTCTTCGGGGCCATCTCCACCACCTTCTTGCTGAGGGGCTTAGGCCTGCAGTTGTTTTTCTGCTGGCCAGCTGTGTTGTCATCCCGTCCATTCCCAGAAGAATCCCTCTCACCATATCATTTACTCTGAAAACAATAATATAGCACCAGTAAAAGGCATCTTTTAAAAAAAGCACCCTAAATCTCATCCTCTAGTCCAGCAGCTGTTGTAGTTTTTCTGAGTTCTTCAAATCTCTGCCCATCTGCTTACCGGGTTCCTTTTTTACACCCTTGTTGTTGGGATGTTGACGGCATTCTGTCTTCAGCTTTACTTGCTTGGTG